GAATCCAGTTTCAGAAGAGTGTCCAGTCTAGCTTCGTCTTGGTTCATGGACCGCAATAAATGCGCCTTCCAAGCTTCAATAGATTTCTTTGCATTGCTAACTAAGTAGGTCATTTCCTCTCTTTCTTCGTTAGGGATGCTGGTGTTTTTCAAAGCTTTTTCAATTTCGTCAAATATGGCAGGAATCATGCTTCGTGGTTGCAGGGAGCATAGTAATCATCATCGTCATTTCTTCTTTGACTAAGAGCATGAGCTCTACAGTGATCTGCAACTCTTGAGTTCAGTGAAACCTCCAAAACTTAAATTAGATAAATGCTTTGAAACATCTTTTGTGCACAATGTAAGAGGAATTATCTGTGTATTCCGCTTTCTGTCTTTTTGGTCAAAGCCACAAACGGATCCAACTAAAGAACGAAAAGAGCAATTTGCTTTCATCCTGAATCTCACACTAAATAAATTGCGCAAAAACAAGTTACAATTAAGGCCTGAGTAGGGAGGGGTGGGTATTGACTGATTTACCAACTAGAAAATTCTAAATTTATAACTCCCCGGATAATGAAAGAGAAACAATTTTGAAATAGCAAAATCAAAATGTAAACTCATAAAAATTAAAAATATTAACAAAATTTCTGCTTTTTAACAGATATAAATTTATTAATGCCGTTTTGTCCATTCCAGTTTCCTCTCCTTTTGAAATCTACATCCTCGAGACGGACTGTTTGTTTTGATGGAGTTTTTGCCTTCAAAAATTTGAAATCTGTTATCAAAAATAATCGAAAATAATCGGATATTAAACAGAGCTAGAATTTTCTTTTACTTCAGTCAAATCCACTTAGTATGTCATGCTTTATATCGGAAGTAACACGATTTTTAGTGAACTTTTGACCAGCTTTGTGCAGCAAATAAGCATTTGCCCAGAATTTTTTTTACATCAACTTAAAGCTTATTTATTCCGCTATCCTTTCCCTAAGTTTTAAAAAGTTTGAAGGTTTATCACATGGTGAAAATTTAATTTGATTTTGACATACTTTTTGATGTGCAAAAAACACGCAACTGGAATAAAATTATTTCATGTCCTAAAATTTAAGCAAATGTCATAAAAATCAGCAATAAGGAAGTTCAATGAGCAGTCAACAAGGTTTAAGGCTGATTGAGCCAAATAGTTTTCTATTTGTTGTAAACGAGCGGTTCAAACTTGGTAATGATTCTGTCTCTAAATCGGCCCATTTTAACGGGTGGTCATAAATCGCGATTTTCTTGAAAATAAAAAGAAAAAAATCCAAATAACCTTTACCCGTGTTATTGCCATACCATAAGGACTCTATTGGAGAAGTTTGAGCGAAATCGAATTTTCAGCCGTTGCCACRAGTTGTTTGATTTTTCTAGACATCGGCTCTTAAGTCAATAACCTTGAGAAGTTATCCTTCCTTCAGTAGCATGTTAGTAGGAGAGTAATAATATAGCAAATGTGGCCAGATACTGCTGTTAGATGGTTAAATATATTTTATATGACGTTGAGCTGTTGCTGTTCTACAGCATCATCAGGAATGACAATAGCAATAAAAATCACAATCAGTATAGATTACCAGTACTCACCAAGAGATAATTTTCAAGTTCTTTAGGGTCGATACCTTCACTATTGTATATGTTACCATCACGCTCAATCACACCAATACACTTGGCACCAGCTCTATGCAGATATCTGGTGCTATGCAAGCCTACATTACCAAATCCCTGAAATCAAAACAGTTTATTTAGCCAAATGGATGCATTTACATGGTCAGCAAGGAAAGAAAAGCAGTTAGCCAAGTTTGATTCTTATCCTTAATACTTTATTTGAATCTTAGACAATCCTTTTTGATGGTAAGTATTTGGCCAAGTTGTAAACTAGCATGTTGCATAGTGCACACTCTATCATTATTACTTTATCATTTTTACCTGGACAACAAAGGTTTTTCCCTTGACACCTGGTTCTAGCCCAACCATGTTAGCATACTTTTCTGCACAAAAATTATTTTGAATACGAATTAGGATAGCAATTATTTCACAATAAGTAAATNAAGAGAGACAATTGATACTTACATTGGCACCTGGAAATCCTAAAATTGATCCATTTTCCTGTAATAATAAAGAAACACATTTTAAGTCTGCTCAATAACCTTAAGAGTTTATCCTTCCTTCAGTAGCATGTTAGTAGGAGAGTAATAATATAGCAAATGTGGCCAGATACTGCTGTTAGATGGTAATACACTTTATATGACGTCCAGCTTTTGCTGTTCTACAGCATCATCAGGACTGACAATAGCAATAAAAATCACAATCAGTATAGATTGCCAGTACTCACCAAGAGATAATTTTCAAGTTCTTTAGGGTCGATACCTTCTCTATTGTATATGTTACCATCACGCTCAATCACACCAATACACTTGGCACCAGCTCTGTGCAAATATCTGGTGCTATGCAAGCCTACATTACCAAATCCCTGAAATCAAAATAGTTCATTTAGCCAAATGGATGCATCTACATGGATAGCAAGGAAAGAAAAGCACTTAGCCAAGTTTGATTCTTATCCTTAATACTTCATTTGACTCTTAGACAATCCTTTTTGATGGTAAGTATTTGGCCAAGTTGTGCACTGGCATGTTGCATAGTGCACACTCTATCATTATTACTTTATCATTTTTACCTGGACAACAAAGGTTTTTCCCTTGACACCTGGTTCTAGCCCAACCATGTTAGCATACTTTTCTGCACAAAAATTATTTTGAATACGAATTAGGATAGCAATTATTTCACAATAAGTAAATGAATGAACAAAAATGTATGGATGAATGCAGGATGGAATGATAGATAAATCATGAACTAATGGTTAGAGTAAAAGATAAATAAACAAAGTATATGTAAACTAATGGGAAAGTAACTATTAACTTACCATTATCTAGAAAGTTTTGAATTCCATGATAAACTCCCTATGAATGGAACAGATGTTAAATAACACCAAAGATCATTACTCTGTAATTCAAATAAGACTTATCAAAAACCACATCATATTATTCATCATAAGCTTACCCTTCCAGTTGCAGACACTCTGCCATGGATACCACCCAAGTGAACTGGTTTACCAGTCACAGAGGCATAAGCATTCATATTTCCAAAACCTAAAGACATTACCCAAAAAACAATCAGTATAGTACGTGTTGGTGACTTTTGTCCAGTCAATGGAAGTTCACTAAGCATTATAGGACACATTAAGTCAAAATATCTGCTTTTGAATAATAGGAAAATGTCCATTGCTCTTATATCAAAAGAAAAGAGGATTATTATACATGTACCTAGTGTCATGTCATAAGTGTCTGCCATCCAACTCATTTCCCTGGCACCAGTGCCCATATCAGGCGCAGGTACATCAAGGCCTGGTCCTATGAAATTCTTCTTAGCTAATTCTACTGTGAATCGTCTTGTAATTTTCTCAAGTTCTAGTTCCTGCAATGATAGATATGAGTATGATCAAAAGTATAAATGAGTAAGTTTGAGAGGGAAAGAAAAGTGTGACATAGACTATAAGCAACACAGGCTACCCAAGTTGCCCATTGTTAATCTCACTTTTATGTTATTAATGCATGGCTACTTTTCAGATGCCCCAGGAGCTATTAGGGAGAGTTTATATTGTTTTACTGATCTGATGTTGTGAAAGTTCAATAATAATTTTATATCATGTAAACAAGTGAATTTTCACACTTTTTAATAATTACATTGGATTCCAAGTCACTTACTGAATATTCTCTTGGGTCAATCCTAATGCCACCCTTGGCACCACCAAAAGGAACATCAACAACAGCACATTTGAATGTCATTAGAGTAGCCAAAGCTTTAACTTCATCTAGGTCAACATCTGAACTATACCTAATACCTGTTCAGTATAAAGAAATATTGTCAAGGACAAGACATTGATATAAAAAGGGTGGATGAGTTTGCACTTAGCTTTAGTAAAGTGTTAAACAAAGAAATGCAGTTGTGATAAATAAATGATAAATCATCAAGATTTTTGATAATTAATTAACCATTACAGATTTTTTTAACTGAAACAGATTGCACTACTTTATTGTTTGTTTTTCTCCTTTATGAGCAGCATGATTGAATTCTCACCTCCTTTGCATGGCTTTCTATGATGGCTGTGTTGGGCACGGTATCCTCTAATTAATTCATATTCTCCAGAATGACGTTTGATAGGGAAAGAAACTGATAATACATCCTGGCATGGCTTCATTGTATCCAAAATACCTACAAGARAATAATATATGAGTTGCTAAATATAGAGAAAAAAAAAAGATCAATCAATGTCAACTGAAATGGTTCCTCTTTTATTAGCTAACTATCCCAGATTGGTAGGAATGGGTACAACTTCACTCCTTTATTTACCCCAGAGATAATGGTACCCATTTATACACCTGGGTGCTGAAGACTTGAGGTCTGATGCCTTTAACACAAAGACCTAAATATTTGGTGCAAGTATCATACTGACTGCGTGACTGCTCTGAACCTTGTAGTCATTATGTTTTATACAACATTAATACCAGGTCTGGTTCCATCACCATGTTTAGCGTTTTCTTTGACACTGCACAGCCAAAAAAAAATCGTTTTTGGAGGGGTGAGAAACAGATGTACACAGGCTAAGCCATACGAAATCTGTATTCAAAATTGAAATCTTGGGTAACAATAGTTGTTATGCTGTTAAATATGCCCCTAGAACAATGTTTGCAGACAAAATAATAAGAAAAGAGTGGGTCAAGCATAAAACACAGTCTCTTTCCAGTCTCTACACAGTAGGTTAAATTAAACTAAACAAAGCTGCATTTTAGATTTCCCTTGGGCATTACTCAATGTTTGCATTGTAGTTATATATTGTTGTATGTACAACTTTGATGTGGTTGAGTATTCAATTGAATCCTTTGACAGGACCAGTTTTGACGTAAAGCATTTTAAAACCATGAGAATCTTAAAACGTAATTGCTATATTTACTAGTAACATAAAAAAACTAAAATTGTATACCGTCAAGTATAAACAAAAACTGTTACTTTATAAATATTCATACAATGTACATGCTAGATGACTTCAATGGAGAAGAGGTTATATTTTCAAGAGCTTATTTTTCAACGTGAATTCATCAGATGTCACGTCTTGGTTGTAAACATTTTCATTRAGGAAAATGTTGAAGAGGAGTTAGTTCAATGCAAATATCTATTGACTTATCAAGTTAACCGAGGCCAAATTACATTAAAAAAAAGGTACTTAATTAACTTTTTAACATAACTTAAAATATAGCATATATCAACCTCTATTATCTGCGACTTTAAGGAATTGAAGGGCCGAGGTAGCATTTAAAATTTGTAAGCCATTTGTTAACAAATTGATCAAGTTTCACGTGGCAAATCATGACACTATGATAGTATAAAGTTGATCAGACCTTTAATCTTGCTTTTCTTGTCCTCATGAGGATCTCTTTTAGTGCCAGGAGGATCTGGTCTTGTCAGAAGTCGGTGTTCYACATAGGATCTGGCATTATCTAAGAAGATTTCACACATCTGAATRAAGGACGGTTCTYCATCCGCTTCGGAGCTAGAATGCCTTACAGCTGATGTTGTTCTCGCTAAAGACCCACATCCAAGGTTTCTATGTATTCCTGATTGTATCAGGCGAGAGCTGGAGGCTCTTAGCATTGTTAAAAAGAAGATAAAGACAGGTTTTGTAMGTTAATCTCGAGAAGACTTCTGACACTAAACCGGCTTCTCGGTTCCCAGCGATTCGAGTGTGACGTTTTGCATTATGCCCCAGGAGAACGCGGCCAACGAAGATGCAAAGATGGGAGGGGCTGGGGGTGTGTTCTTTCCTTATATGGTGTATGGGAGGAATGGAGGAAATGAAGGAAAAAAGAAAAATAAGCGAGAAATAAAAAAAGAATAGGAGAAATACAAAAGGAAATGAATTCTAAAATCATCTACTTAAACCATAATTCATTCATAATGTTTAAGTAGAATGAAACAGAACAAAACACCAACTTGAAGCTATAAAAACTGTTTATTGGACGTTTCGGCACTTTATTCTAACAAATTTTCAAAATGCAGGTCCCTGTCAGAGAAGATTTTCACTATACTGAATATAAATTATAAGATAATAAAAATCTGATTTTTGTTAAAAGATAATGAGCTAAACTACATGATAGTGTACAAAAAATGACCATAGCCATTACTACAGTAGTTATAAAAGTAGGATAATAGTAACCCAAAGTATTTTTAAAAGTATTTTTAAAAGCCATTTATGACATTTATACGATAGGACGTCATCCATGGGAATGACCCTATAGGTATGTCCATAGATTAACCAGGGTGCTTTTCAATCTCTACATTAAGTATTCAAAAATATTTAATAAATTTGGATTAGAGACTAGACAGGATATCTTGGCACAGAAGCTGTAGTTTTAAGTGCTACCAGAGTCTGTATCCATAGTTCTTGCTAGGTCAAAAAGGCTCAAGCAGTATCAATATAAGACTTTGTCATTTTCAAATACTCCAGCATATGGTATCACCCATATGGCTTGGCAAATAGTTCGGAATCCCTGGTATCACCCATAAGACTAGCAATTCAAAATAAGTGTTAGTACTTTTCAAATACTTGGGCCCCTAGATAGTATTACCCAGGCTTAGGCTTAGTGGACTGTGGTAGCAGTATAAAACAATAAAACTTTTTTACATTGATCATACAGTTAAAATTTTGCTGGTATATTCTACAGATATGTTCTGTGGCTATATATCTAGTTAATCTGTTCATAAGTGAGACTTGAATCGCTGTAATCTGTAAAAGCATTGAACACTCCTGGTGTGGAATCTATGTACTGATTTGTAGGATCCCTTCTTCTGCCAAAACTAAATAGTCCACTTGTTACAGTGCTTAGCAGTGATAAAAACGTYCCCACACAAACAAGGATCAAGTAGTAGTGCTTACTRCCAACAATTCYTCCAGTATATTCAATAGACTCTTTGGCATCAGCAGCATATTTATAACCGATCATAAGGCCAATGAAAACAATTGACAATAGCGTGGTRACCAAAGACGATAAAAATGGACCATATTTTAWGACGATTTTTAGAAATAGACGATCTTGAAAGTATCCAGCTACAATACACAAGCGAAGAGCAAAGTATATTCCTGTGAATAACAGCAAAAGTGCGTTGAATAACGACGCAATAACRAAGACAAGAAAAGGGCAAGAACTGTCGTCTGAAGCTGCCGAGTCACCAAGTTTCCATGACCAGCAAAATGTAGTGTTTTTTGATCTCGCTTTGTCTGCAAATACGGAAAGAACAGGAATAAAACACACTTCACAAAGCAGGGCGAATACRAATGATAAGATGTACAATGCTCGAGGRTTTATCCCTGCCATTTTGACGCTCTTTCTTTCAAGATTATCGTGGCTCTCTTTCCCGGAAGTGAGAATTCACATCGATTTCATGTCATGTGATCAGCGAGCAAAACAAAGGATCACTTWACTTSCACACAAAACAGTACAGYGCGCACCAAATCAGATYATTCTATGGTAGGGAATTTTCTAAATAAAACAAATTTTGAGCACAAAGCACTACATTTTACTTYWAWTMAWWAAAWYMAWYMAMMRGRAWYMWTWMMAAAAWTTTAAAAAAAWT